CCCCGTCGAAAACCACTACTTTGAAGTTTAAAACGCGCCAGAGCCTGTAAATACGAGAAATTCGTAACCTCTACCGTGCGATGTGGCATATATTTTTATTGCACCCGAAATCGTGCTGATACCACACGTTTCCTAGGACTCAAGCAAAACGTAGCACTTCTTTTGCCTACCCAAAACAACCTTAAAATCTGCTTAAAACTGTCGTGATAACACAGCTTCACCAAAAAAAACACCGACAAAAAAACATGCGGCGGGTTGTTCTTGTGCTTGACGTTACTGATGTTGTTGGTGTTGTTGCTGCTGCTGTTGTTGCTGTTGCTGTTAATTACTACTTGTTGTGGTCGTCGTTGTTGTGGTTGTTGGTGGTGGTGGCGGCGGCGGTGGCGGTGGCGGTGGCGGTGGCGGTGGCGGTGGTATAGTGGTGGTGGTCTTGTAGGATTATTGCTGCTGGTGTTGCTGTTGCTGTTGCTGTTGCTGTTGTTATTGTTGTTTGTTGTTTGTTGTTGTTGCTGCTGCTGTTGTTGCTGCTGCTGTTGTTGTTGCTGCTGATGTTGTTCTTGTCCTTTCGGTCATTGGTATTCACCTGGTATTCTTGTTGGCACTGTCGCTTTTGCTGCTGTTGTTGTTACTGTTGTCGCTGCTGCGATGGTTGCTGTTGCTGCTGGCGGTGCAGGTTTGTTGTTTGTCGCGGCTGCTACCACGTTTGCAATTATTAGTTCGTGGCTGGAGAAGTTGCATTGTTGTTGGCGTGATTAGTCACGTATTCTTTGACTGCCCTCATTTGTAATGCTTCAATTAGAGCACTGTCGGGTCGTTCAGGAACTTGGTACGATGGTAATCCAGTCTTGATTGTTCTCAGCGAGAGCCTACCCCCATGCTGAACATGACCTTAGAGATGGTGACAACAAGGGGTTGCTTCGTTGATGAGGACTGACAGGTATGGGCATCGCCCGCACACCTGAGCCACTCTCTCACCTCTCCCCACGATCACGGTTAACATTAACATGAAGAGAAAGAGTATAGTATGCATATCCCAGGATATTGTTGTGACGAATAGAGTGGTGATAATCAGTTGTGAACCTCGTGATGTTGCAGTTGGTGGTGATCGAGATTACAGGAATGTTGCTGGCCATGGCGACGATGGTTAAGTGGGGTACATGACTGCCGTTCTAGGATATACATCCTCTACACTGGCCAGCACTACGACCCGATTGTGTCTGGAGCCGGAGCCGACATTGCAGTGGAGCAGGAGCAGAAGAAGCACAAAAAAGGCAGGGGCTGAAGTCATTTCTGGCCGAGATTAGAACTCCTATGACAGGCCGTCCTACCCATTCCATTTCTTCCTTCCCACAAAGGGGCAAGAAGATGCTTCGCTGATAAAGTGCAGCAGTGCAGGTCTTGGTGACTGTTTTCTATCAGCTTCACACCGCAAGCGTAAGCTGATGAGAGTCGCACAAGCCTCAGCGAAGCAAGAAGCCGAAAGGCCAGACTAGGACCTACACCTTCACCATCGATCAAGACCACCCTGGCACCATCTGCTGGAGCTCGTGAAGCCTTTAGCCTGAAGCATGAAACGCAGGGTTTAGGATCTTGGGATGCAGTGTAAAAGCGCGCAGCGAACGGCCCCATGAAGGAATTGGCTGTTTCAGGCAAGTGTGTGCAGCTGAAGTGCTGGATCAAACCAAGAAACACGAGCTCGCGCATTCTCAAGTCTTCCGTTGTTGAGTCTCTGAGTTCCTGAAACCCGAATGTCAATCCCTGAACAATAGAGACTCAACAGACCGAAGACAATGAACCCCAAGCCCGAACAAGAATACCTCAGCAACACAGCCCCTGCGAGGCGACATGAGTTTGGAAGCCAAAGCTTTGGAGCTTGCGCGGCGGTGCTTGGGCAAAAACTATTTCACCTGCTGCTGGGCTCATCTGTGAGGATTGAGTAGTCACGAGCTGAGGCACGTCGCAGAGGCCGCGAAGAAAGCTAAGCAGCGGCGCGCCAAGAAGATCAAGTGTCACTCAGCTGAACACTGCCGATGCTCTCATCCACAAACATCTAAACACTTCCGCTTACATGCCCTTTCCTGCTTGAATCCTGCTTCCTGAAACCGCGGACGCCGGCATGTGCTACCAGCACGACTACCGCCGCGGCCGGTCATCGTTTTTGATCCCTGTCGACTCCTACAAAACCTCCGACGCCCCAATCACAAACCCGGCATTCCGAAGTCACCAGACAGGCATCCAGCTTTTGCGAGTGCTGCGATCCGACATCCTCCGCCCGGTCCGCAGGTGGTGGCTGCGGAGCGCTGCTAAGTGATGCAGAGGCGTTTGCGACACATTGCGGTGAAGTCGACCACGATGACGACTTTGCCTACGAAGCGCGGCTGCGCAGTGGGAGGGTTTAGGGTTTCGGAAATCGCGCGACCCTATGCCCTACTTGCGACCCAAGGATTGCGAGGAGGTGGAAGTGGTGATCGCGTCTTGGTTCAAATTCTTTAGCCAGCCTGCGACCACATAAGGAATGTGAGGTTTTCACGAGCAAATTATAAGACTAAACGGAGAGGGCAGACACAGGCGATGTAGCGCACGTGCCGTAATGTCTCACAACACATGCCCGTTTCTTTCATGGGCACCGAGATCACACTGCACTGAACTATACATTCTCAGCCGAGGAGGAAGGTGAGGAGCTTCCCGAGGGAACGGTGGACTTGAATGCAGACCACGTTTACAGTGTCTAGCTCAGCACAGCGTGTCTTGGGCTTGAGGGCAGGGCCTGTTCTTTGTTTGGGGCATGTGTGTGTGTGTGTATGAGTGAGTGAGTGAGTGAGTGAGTGAGTGAGTGAGTTAGTGAGTTAGTGAGTTAGTGAGCGAGTGAGTGTGTGAGTGTGTGAGTGTGTGAGTGTGTGTGTGAGTGTGTGTGTGTGTCTCTGTGTGTCTCTGTGTGTCTCTGTGTGTCTCTGTGTGTCTCTGTGTGTCTCTGTGTGTCTCTGTGTGTCTCTGTGTGTCTCTGTGTCTGTGTCTGTGTCTGTCTGTGTGTGTGTGTGTGGCAACCCTGTGTCCAAGGGTGTTCACGTCGGCAGTTATGTACATATTTCAGCAGGGGGCCGGGAGGGTAGAGGGGCGAT